TCTCTCTCTCTCTCTCTCTCTCTCTCTCTCTCTCTCTCAATGAGTCATGAGCGCGAGCAGATATTCCGCATTGGCGCAAAAGCCGTCACGTCGCGCGAAATAAGTAGTGGCCGCTTACGGATGGCGGATGTGTGCGGAGGAAAGTCGATAGTCTTTCGTACTACCTACGACCTACACTAGCTACCCTACCTACCCAGCTAGGACGCCAGCCCGGTCAAGTCCGGGATAAGCCACCCTCCTGCGGGTAATCGCAACTGCGATTACGAGACATCAGTAGCCCGCTTGGGACAGAGATAGAGAGAGAGAAAGCAATAAACAGTTCATGAAACTCCGTCCGTCGTGTTTCTGGTCTCGAGTGGATGAGGACTTGGTCTCTCTAATTACCCGATTAAACGCGTCTTTCTCTCCTCGGGGCTCTCTCTCTCTCTCTCTCTCTCTCTCTCTCTCTCTCTCTCTCTCTCTCTCTCTCTCTCTCTCTCTCTCTCTCTCTATCTTTCTCTCTCTGTCTCTCTTGAATCGCTCATACTCGCTTTCCAAGGATCTCGCCATCGTAGAAAGTTATTTGACATTTAGAGGGGTCTGCAGTTTTTTGACCCACCCTGTACGTACTCGCGCCGCGTGCCGCGATTTGCCGACGCCGCGGGGGGTACAACACGTGCGCGGCGACAGATCACCACGTGTCGCGATGATGAGAGAGAGAGAAAGAGAGAGAGAGACGATCACCGTGAATAAAGAGAGGTCGCGGAACTCTGACATGCAAAAGTCGCCGCAGTTGCAAAGATATCCTGACGCGCTCGCGAGGATTCGCGAATGATGTCTTTCAAAAACGCTGAGAGAGACATTTGATAATATAGTATGTAATATTTTCTATATAAAGCGCACAGATAAGTTGCATTGTTCGTTGACATATTTGCCTAAGTTGTTAAATTGACAGAAGATGATGGATAAATCGGGATATGCGAGACGTGTTAAATTTAACACAAATTCTTTCACGGTGTGATGTATCGAAGAATTTGATATGTTAGACTTTCGCGATGTGGGGTCTGACTTCCGGGTTGGTTCCTGGCGCACCCTTCCTGGATGTTACCGACGTGTTTCGCGAGCTGGAATGTCCATTCCAACGGTATGCCAGCTCGAGAAACGTCGGAAACAAACCCACGGAGAATGATGAGCTGCTATCGTTATCGTCGTGTCTCGCGCGACACACCTGTCTGGGTTGCGCCATGGCCGCTCGTTTATGGTCGAGGAGACACTCGGTGATTCCGGATCGCAATCAACACCTTGCCTTTCCGAGTTTCACCTCGATTAAAGGGAGAGATTAACTAACCCAACGAGGCGGCCGTCTTCCGCGCCGCGCAGGCCGCGGAATTTCTGTTAGACGGCTACGCCTCATTAGGCCCGCAGGGTCCGCGGCCCGCTAATTGTTATCATGGCCGTTACACGCCGTAACGTAACGTTAACGTAACGTTAACGGCGGGCGCTCACCGGGCCCGAAACTGCACTACCAGCGCGAGAAAGTCGCTGCGCGCGCGCGCGCGCGCGGCGTTCTTTCTTCATGCTTTCTCTTCACGGGGTCGTTACGTAACGAGGAGTGGCCGGCCGCGTGTGCGTGCGCGAGTGTACGCGTGTGTACGGGGTGTCACGGCACCGTCATTCCTCCCGATACGTCATCGATCTTTATTAATCGGGCACCGCCCGCGATCGCATTGACCGAGACGGCCCGGCACGGGAACAAGTGCATCGTCGCCGCGGCATGCGCACTTTGCGTTTCTACGTTACGTAAGCGGTTACCTACTGGCGAATACCGGCACCCGACACATCCGGCTGTTAGACGGGTAGTTCAAGTCTCCTGGCCATTCGCCACGGCCACGTATGTTCTCCAATATAGAATACATATACATATATTGAATATATACATATTGCATAATGAATATATACATATTATATTGACGATATATATTGCGGTGAAAGTTTAAACATTCGTATGAAAATTAAAACGATAAGAATATTCAAAGTTAGGTGTCCAAGCGCTGGTACTTTTTTATGCTAAAGAAATGCTGGAGAGTCGATGACTCTAAAAATGTTGATAACGTAGAAAGGATCGGATTACATGACTTTTTCCGCATTTCTTGTGGATCTTTCTACCTTATAAATTCGTTTATCTTAAAAAAATCTATCTTATAGATTTATATAAGATCTTATAGATCTTACATATCGACCTTAAGATCTTATAGATCTTATACAAATGTGTGATGCTTTGTTTTACCGTGTTAACAGGAAACAATCACACATATATCAAGATCTTTCTGCAAATTTTCCAGTATACTTTCTACATTCAGTTGTAAAAATACAGAAATGTTCGCTATTACTATTGCATGCACTTTCAGCGTGTAAAAGCGCTTGTAATTTTGTACAACCAATACCACGTAAACAATATTCTGTCGCTAAAGAAAATTAAGACTTCAGCGTCCCTTTAAACCCAACGTTCGATTCGAGATTTCTCGATTATTTCGCACGGAATCGTCAGCACCGTTAACTCCAACGGGAATATACGCGAGGAGAGATGCTTTCCCCTCTCTCTCTCTCTCTCTTCTATTTATAATTATATATTAATGCAAAACTGGTTGTGAAAAGGAGAAAGTATTACGCGAGTGGTCGTCAAAAAAATATACAATTATGACGCTTTACGTGAGCGCGCACGAAAACGGCAATTCGATTGTCATTCACGGCGACCGCGTCACCGTCCGAATTTCACCTGCAGGACATCATACTTACGTGATATGCTAATGATACCGGTTTCCCGGTTTATTGGAAACACACGGAATAGCTGAGAAGCTCGAAGTCGCAATCGCCGGCGCGAGGAGAGCGAACGAGGGCGCGCTGCTCGTCGTCTTCGACGCGCGAGAAATCGAATCGCAGCGTAGAGTCGGGAACGAACCCGCCGCGAATTAATTATCCGCACGGGACTCTCACTGACCGACACTCACTCCGACGACATTGTACACGCGTGCCGAGGAACGATGAATTATTAATGCGACGCATTTGTTTTTCCGTTTCAGGAGGTGCGTGCGGCGCTGGTTCTCCTCTTGGGGATTCTACTCGCGACGATACAACATGGTAAGACTTTCACGACTCGCTGCGCAAAAGTGTAAGTGTGATCTCTCCCACGCAGGAGAAACGATTAAGATTCTCGCTTGCTGTATCTAGGCTCTCCGCGAGCAGGATGTGTGTTCGCTTCTCGATCGCGAATCTGTCGATTCAGCGATTCTCTCCTCAGCGAAAACCCCATTGAACTTGTTGGTGTTCCTTCCTTCGCCATTCCCACATGCATCAGGCCGTCCCATAAGTACTGTCGTATCTCGGCAGTAAATTAAATGAATCGAGGCTCTCTTCATTAACAAACAGTAAGGGTTAGACGACGTGCGAGTACATGAATGCTTGATTAACATGGTGCGTGAGTTTCAAATGATTTTAGTAGTGAATTATATATAGAGGATCAAATAGGGGAAATTATATTGGAATAAGCGCGAAGAAGTGAAGGCGAAACAAAGCGTGAGATAGAAAAGCGGGATTAAGGACAGCAAAAGTGTAATTACACGCGATACACTGAGAGAAAAATTATCTTAAAATCAACAAATATTTCCTTGGTGGGTGCCATTAACATATTTACTTAAATATACATTCTCTTTACTTAAATCAAATATTGTTTATTTAAATCAAGTAAGCAATATTTGATTTAAGTAAATATGTTAATTCGATTCGGGTGAAATTTCATCGATTTAACTCAATTCGAATTCGAAATTAAAATCTGAGATTCGACTCAATTCGATATTAAAAATCTTTGATTCGCACATCTCTACTTATATTCTTCTTTCTCAATCTGCTTAATTTTCACTTAACCTTTAGATCACTTACTCCTTTTCTCTCCCGATCTACACTGAGAGAAAAATTATCTTAAAATCAACAAATATTTCCTTGGTGGGTGCCATATTCGAACCCACCAAGGACATATGGCACCCACCAAGGAAATATTTGTTGATTTTAAGATAATTTTCCTCTCAGTGTAGATCGGGAGAGAAAAGGAGTAAGTGATCTAAAGGTTAAGTGAAAATTAAGCAGATTGAGAAAGAAGAATATAAGTAGAGATGTGCGAATCAAAGATTTTTAATATCGAATTGAGTCGAATCTCAGATTTTAATTTCGAATTCGAATCGAGTTAAATCGATGAAATTTCACTCGAATTGAATCGAATCGTTGAAAGAATTTTTAATTAACATAATCATTGAATTCAATATGAAAATAGTGATTACAGTACGAGAGAGAGATAACATTGATCGTGTGAAATTATTTCATTTTAACGTAAGAGATATATAACATAATCGGTAAATGTGTATGGAACAGTTCCTGCTTTGAAAGCTGCGCAACGACACATATTGATCGAACAGTTGTCGGTAAGAATTTATCTAGAAACCATTATCTTTTAATATTTTTTAAGAAAATCTCAATGTATAGCAAACTTTTCAAGTCATGCTAATTCCC